TCCTGCTGATTCAGAATCCATAGGCATCTTTAATGTTAAGAATAATGTTATCTTTACACATTGACTACAAACTTTGACTATTGAGATAATGTTCAGATCTTAAAAGATGTTCAGTTTGTTTTGGATTCTTTTTTTTTTTTACAGGGCTCTATGGAGCAAGTCAGTTCTCATTTCTTGGAGCAGACGCTTGACAAGAAGCTGATGTCAGATCTAAGGGTAACTTGAATTCTCTGTTGTTTAAACTGGGCTTCTGAAATTAACATCAATGTAACAGTATATGCCAAGCTGATATTGGTTTAATTTTGCAGCCCATGCATTTGTTAAATTAATGTAGGATGATTAGATTACATTTACTTTAAAATCTTAGTAACTTGAACCAAATTAAAAGTTACTTCATTAAATTTTAAATTATTATTATGAAATACTTTGCACAAGTTGTGTTCTACAGAGAAGAACCAGTATGAATTTTCCTTTTCTTAGAAATTGCAAAGGTCTGGTCTTATATTTTAAGATGACATCTGAGGGCTGCTTTTCAGTAGCAGTTCCCATGGAAGAGTGAATAAATTTTTTCTCTGAACTGTAACAAAATGCCTCTTATGGAATGCCTCTAAGCTTTTACTGCGACCGTTCTTTGATATATTTGCCAGAACCCACTATGAGTCTGAGAATATGATATGTTCATTTATTGTCAATATCTTTACTTATTTATTTTTTTGTTAACTCTCACCCGAGGATATTTTTTCCTTTGATTTTTAAAGAGAGTTGAAGCGGGGGAGGAGGGAGGACATGGATGTGAGAGAGACACATCAATTGGTTGTGCTCCGCATGTGCCCCAACCAGGGATGGGGATTGAACCTACAACCCAGTAACATGCCCTTGACCAGGAATCGAGCCTGCAGCCCTTTGGTGTAGTTCTCCCCAGCTCTTTTTTCTTATGCATGTTTTAAACATTGTATGCAGATAGTTTTGTGGTTTTGTAAGTCTACTTTTTATATTTGCCACAGTATCATATGCTTTTTTTTTCATATTGCTAACTTTATACTTAGCATTTTTATTGATTGCATAATATTCCTTTAAATAAATGTATAATCATTTTTAAGCTCATCATAATACATTTAGATCCTTCTAGTTTTTCCATCCTAATAAACCACATAAAGAATATTATCTTCTGCATATTAGCTCCTTTCTTCTTTTGAGTTATTTGGTAACATAAGATAAATTCTAAGGAATGGTTGAAGAGTTGACATGAAATATTGCCATTTGGCTTTCCTTAATGGCATTGCCTTCATTTGAGGTAAGTGATTGATTAAGTGTTCTTTTGTATTCTGGGGGAGAAGTATAAAGAAGAATATGCTCATGGTGAATGGTGAGGAATGGGTGATCCAAAGGTTTCTAAGACACATCACAAGGTACAAACTTTCCTACTGGGTCTGACCCACATCCCTGTAGGCTCAAGTGCTATATTTTATCAGTGCCTTTAAGATGATCAGCCATGAGGATGTGGAGTCACACCAAGAATGTTCAAAAGAGGCAAATTATAAAGTATTTATAAGAGTCATAACCCTCAAGTGGACTGAATATTTACTTTTGTAACCAGTATATTCCCCATTAAGCATTCTGTGCAGAAAATGAATTTACTAGAAGGTTGCTTGGGAGCACACTATTGCTCAAATAGAACACAGTGTTGTCAAATGGAGACTTCTACTGGGACTGAAAAAGTTTTTTTCCTAGGGCCAGTGTATTATCTACCCGGCATGGTGCTTGGAGGGACACTGCCATTGTTTAGCTCTCTGGTTCTCTCTTTCCTATGTTGTCATTGCAAACATGAACATCTGTCTGATCAACACACTTTTTCACTGTCTTTAATAAGGTTACTATCAGCAGTGATAGACCTGTGAGCCTTTGGTCTTTAAGTTGAATTTGCATTTCTCTGCTCTAGTCTATTGAGTATTTTTATTTTTTGCAAGTGTAACTCTGAGAGAGCAGTCTTATTTCCTGCCTACCATGTTTTCAGGGTGCATCTTATTGTTCCTTCTTGAACCTCCTGCAAGTGGTAATTGTTGTTGTCCTCCACAGAGGAAACGCACTGCACACGAGCGTGCCAAGGAACTTTATAGTTCAGGGGAGTTTTCCAGCGGCAGGAAGTGGGGAGATGATGCTCCCAAGGAAGAAGTAGATACAGGGGCTGTGAACTTGATCCAGTCAGGAGCTTGTGGAGCTTTTGTTCATGGATTGGAAGATGAAATGTATGGTAAGTATCCTATATAATAAAGAACTAATGTTCTAATTAGACTGGACTGTGGAACGACCTTCCGGAATGACCAGGGGGTGGGGCGGGGGCAGGGCCAGGGAGCCTGTGTTGCCAGGCTAGCCATGGTGATCCTGGCGCCCCCCTTCCGCAGGCGGCAGGAGAGGGGGCTGCTTGGTCCAGGTTCCAGTGCCACATCTTTTACAGAGGCAGTGGGAGAGGGGGTGGCATAGTCCCAGTGCCTCCGGAGAGGTGGGATGTGGACTGAGGCACCACAACCTCCCATGGCCCCTCCGCCACTCCCCCTCCCCCACCACCAGTGGGTGGGGGGTGGGGCCAGCACTAATGAGCAGCAAGCCCAGCTTCTGGTTGAGTTTCACTCCCCGCCACATCCCCTGCTTAGCCAGAAGCTGGCCTCATGGCTGGCAAGTGCATTGGTGGTGGCTGGAACCTCTCCTGCTTCTGCGGCAGGCGGGCTGTAGGGAGCGAGTGGTTCTGGACTGTGAGAGCCCCTGACTATGAGAGGGATGTCTGAGTGTCGGCTTAGGCCCAATCCCCGGTGGGGTCGGGGGACCGGGCCTAAGCCAGCAGGCGGACAATCCCCAAGGGGTACCAGACTACGAGAGGGCGCAAGCTGGGCTGAGGGACACCCCCTTCCCAGTGCACAAATTTCATGCACTGGGCCTCTAGTGACTACATGATAACAGTGCTCATTTACTGAGTGACTGCTATGGTTGTCATATTGATTGATATGCACACAATGTCTCATTAGAGAGAGAGATGTGAGAGAGAAACATTGATCGGTTGCCTTTGGTACATTCCCAATGGGATCGAACCAGCAACCTTTTGGTGCATGGGAGGATGCTTAACCATCTGAGCCACTCTGGCTGGGTGAAACAGTTCCCCCCCACGCCCCAACATAGCAAATTCCTTCTCTCTGCCCTGGATCCTTAAGGAGACTGTAATATACTTTCAGCACTCCAAAAAGTTCAGTAGAAATTGTTATTTACCTGCCTGTAGCCAGGCAGTACATGCAAAGTAAAACACCAAGTTTTTACTTTATGTTTCCAAGTTTTTGCTTGGAATTTTATCATCTCTGATCTCATGCTGATAGGAGTTTCTGTGTGATTCCTCTGATAGAGTTGCAAGAGTTACACATGAATCAACGTGGTGTAATAGATAAAGCCCTGGGAAGAAAAGCCAGCAATTAATATATTTAGGTCCATTTCTGGCTTGCTTTGTAATTAGCAATTTCACATTTAAATTACATTTTTTGTGAAGTGGAGCAAATTCTTCCCTTCTCATTAGAAGGAGGAATTCATAACTACCAAGAAAAATCTGAGTCATCTCCCTTCAATGTATTAACTCTGCTTTTAAAGTGTCTAGAAACATTTCTTATACAAAAACAACTTGTATTTGTGAGTTTTAACCACAATTGGAGTAGTTTTCTTTTTTGAAACTGTACATTGTGTTGCAGAGCCATGGGGGAACCACTGCAACAAAATGAGCATCTATAAAAGTCTTGTGAGCATTGTCTGTAGCTTACTCATCTCTGTATCCCGGCACTTAGCACAGAGCCTGGCATATCCTACACGTTCAGGAAACATTGTTAGTGAATGAACGAAGGGCTTCCTAGACTCAGTAACCTCACTGTTACATGTTCTGAGCATTCCAAGAGTAGAAGACATGGCTCTATTTTCAAGGTGCTTACAAGACCTTGCGATAGCTAATGTTGAGCTTTTAACATATGCCAGGAGGTGTGTTATCTGCTTTACTTACATCATGTCATTAAGTCATCCTAACTGCTCTGTAAGGAAATGAGTATTATCGCCATTGAACAGGTGAGAAAATCGAGTTGCTAAAGTTCACCTCCAAGTTTGTGGAGGGATTATTCTTCACAGTTCACTGTGTGATCCCTGTCATTCCAGAGCATCCATCTTTAACCACTATATAATGCTGGTCTATATAACAACAGACCTGGATACTGGTCTTATCTCTCCTCTGACTTTGAGGCAAGTTAATGCACTTTGTTGAATCTTATTTCTAAAATAAGAATAATAGTATCTAATATGTTTTATTAAAATACTATTTTGGCTGCCTTTTTTTAAAAAACACACAAAACTTTACTGTAGTTGAAATACTGAGATAAATAAAAACTTAGTTTTCAAGAAGTTCCGTTAATGGAGACAGATGTGTGATTCGATCACAAGTCTGCACAGTTGAGATCTAAATCTTAGTCCCTGTGACACCAACGTTCATGCTTTTAGGTTGAAGTGAAGGTGGAAGCTGAACCTGTGAGCATGGAGATCTCCCAGAGTTTTTAGGGTGAGAGGAGTAGAAAGCAAAAGGCAGAACTGAATGAGAAGGAATCCTTGGATTTTTTCCCATGGCTCTTAATTTGATACGCAGTTGTATTTGTCTCCTTTTGTCTAGAGGTCCGCATTGCTGCTGTGGAGGCTCTCTGCAT